TTGTTGTTTGCAATTCATTCGTTTGATTTGTATACTGCGATTCATCAATCAAGGCGGCATCTTTCGCCGGCATTTCGAAACCGTTTGAGCCCTCTCCCGTTTGCGAATCCCGTATTAAATTGTTCTTATTCAACTCCGGTAAATTGCTTTGGTTTATAGCAACAGAATCTCTTGATACGTTTCTCGAGTCTCCCAGCTCCAAAGATTTCTCCAGCCTTGCAGCTTGATCACGCAAATTTTGGCTTGAGAAGCCAAAATCATTATATCCTTTCGCATCCCATAGCTCCTTCATGAGTTTAATATAACCTTTTTTCTTGCTATTTCCATCCAACGGTGGTTGTTCCATTTGTGTCATTGCCACAGCCTCGCGTTTGCAACTCAAAAGATCCTCGTTCATTTGATCTGTCCATTTACGCCTGTGTTTATATTGCCTTCGATTACTGCCATATTGACTTGCTATCGCTGACATAGAGTTTCACAAAATCGTTTAAACTATTGCCTTTCTGAGTTCGTCTGTTCGAATTTGTCTCGTTTACACAGCAAGCTGGATTTTGTGCAGGAATTTCAACAACAAGAAAATAGTATAAAGTCGTATTTTCGTTTATAAAACACAGACGTTTCTTCCTGACGTGTAGCATGTGGCCGCCATCGCATAATAATAATAATAATAATGAAAACTTTATTAAATGGATATTTAGCTTATATATACAATTGCAAATCTCACTTATATCAGGTAATTTACAACTGGCTACTTAAATCACTAATTATATATGCAAAAATTATACTATTAAGATAACAAAATGACAGTACAACGTTTAAACACTTAACAGTTCCGGATTCATCCATTCCTTGTTTCGACAACAAAATATATAATACGTTGTTCGTATTGCAATCGTCGTCATTCTTCCTAAACAGTAATTCTGATGTTTCTTTTGAAAACCAAAATCATTAAGCATTTCTATGAAAGTAGAACATTCTTTACTGAAAACACCAAGAGAACTAATCGAAAGATTTACAAATTTTACTGAGTTGAAATGTTCATTTTGTCCCCTAATTAATTCTTTATATTTTGAGTTTTTACGCTCAACGTTTTTTTGAAGATTTGATTCGAAGCCAACTGTAAGTTCAACAATATAGAGTGTTCCGGTTGAGGTTGAAAGAAGCAAATCTGGACGGTAGGTGTCACCAGTGATGATTGATGGACTTTTGTACGCTGGGAGATCCACGTAAAGATGTGAGCCGCTTACGGTCTGCAAGCTTGTTGCGAGAAAGTTTAGAACGGAGTCATGTTTCCACGTGAATCGTTCTAGATACGATTGGCAACCAGATACTGCGTGCAGAAGTGTTTCAGGAGCTAGACATCGCGAACAGTCTGAAGTCGGTGATAAACCCCATCTTGCAAGCTTTTGGCGCGTTGGAAGGGAGTTATTGATGTATCGAACTGTAAAATTGAATATATTTTTCCGAAGGTTCGAATGGCACGCAGACCAAATTTTAGTGAGTTGGGAGAGTGAGAACTTTGTTATATTAGTGAAGAAAGAGCCTTGACAGGTTAATTGAGTATGCAGTTTATCCTCTTGTCCAGAGCGAATGTCCTTAAGAACTTGCATAGTGAAGTTATAAACGTCATACTGAATATTTTTGCTGTTGCTAGTTGCTTTCCAAAGATCGTTAATTGCTTCGTTTGGGGATGTTTTTAGGGCTTTACGAAGAACAGTTTGACATTGAATAAATTTGACAGATGGGGGACAAATACTGAGGCCAAACTTGTTGCGGGTTAGGAAAACAGTGCTTAGCGTTCCAGATATAGGTATATCATGCCATTTACGGATATAACTGTTGACTTTGGAATCAATGTTTTCGGTGACCCACGTTTTCGATACGCTAGAAACTGTAAAATGCCAGGATAATTTTGACAGAAGATATCGACTGTAGAGGAGGATTTTATTTTTTGGATGTAATGGTTTGGTATCAATATCTGCAATAATAATAATATAATATATATTATATAATGAAAACTTTATTAATAGAACATTTATAGATATATACAATTGTAAATCTCACTTCTTGGGGTAACCTACAATTGACTACTTGAATCACTTATACATGGTTATAGTTTAATATACAAAAATTGTTAAATATTTATAGAAATAGTTACTTTAAATGTTCATTAGTTCGGGATTTGTTCATTCTTTATTTCTACAGCAAAATATGTAGCACGTTGATCGGATGGCAATAGATACTATTTTTCTGATACAATATTGTTGGTGTTGATTATCCAATCCTAACTCATTTAGCATTTTTACGAATGTATGGCATTCTTTATCAAACACCCTTAGCGAACTGACTGAAAGATTTATAAATTTAATAGATGTAAAGTTTTGATCTAGTTCTCTAAATAGGTTCTTATATTTAGCTTTCTTGCGATTAACATTGTTTGTGAGGTTTGATTCAAAGCCTACGGTAATTTCAACAACGTAGAGGTGTTTGTCTGAAGTGGAGACAAGTCAATCAGGACGATATTCATCACCCGTAATAATCGAGGGGCTTTCAAATCCAGGAAGATCAACAAGTAATTTGCATTCGTTTAAACTTTGAAACGTTTTTGCAAGAAACTTTAGTATGCAATCGTGTCTCCAAGTAAATCGTTCCAAGTAATGTTGACAACCGGGAACAACGTGCAGAAGTGATTCGGGGTGTAAGCAGAACGAGCAGTCAGAACTTGATGAAATTCCCCATCTACTGAGGTTCTTTCGGGTAGGAAGGGTATTATTCATATAGCGAATTGTAAAGTTGAAAATGTTCTTTGGTAGCTTTGATTGCGATACCGACCAGATTGCGTTAAGTTGTGATAGGGAGAATTTAGAAACATTTTCGAAAAAGGAACCTTGACATTTCAAACGGTCCCTAAGTTTATTTTCTTGTTGAGAATGGAAAGTTTTTAAAACTTCTTTAGTTGAATTGTAGCTATCGTATTGAATGTTAGTATGATTATTAGTTGACTTCCACAGTTCGTTAATTGAATCGTTTGGAGATGTTTTTAGGGCATTGCATAGAACAGTTTGACACTGAATGAACTTGACGGATGCAGGGATGATAATAATAATAATAATAATAATAATAATAATAATAATAATAATAATAATAGTAATAATAATAATAATAATAATAATAATAATAATAATAATAATAATAATAATAATAATAATAATAATAATAATAATAATAATAATAATAATAATACAACGCTATAATTGGTACCAGTGGTGGGTGTTGATTCTTTTGAAGTTTAATGGTGATTCCTAGCTCGGGAAGGCAAAAGTAGTTTGAAAATAAACCTGGTCATCTAATTTTTATTCAAAATCAGTACAAATGTACGCGGTATCCTCAGGATTTGGCCTTAATCTTCACAATAATTTTTACAGAATAATGATCGTTTATATTTGGAGAGCTAAAAAAATATTAATCATTAGTTTTCACAGGCACTAGTACACACTACCCTGGATTCCAGAGCCTTCGACAGTAAATAATAAATTGAAACGTCGCGAAGGCTCTTGTTCAACGGGGAGATTCTTTGATTAAACCGCGCCAATCACAAAACAGAATTAGTGGTTTCAGTACAGATTCTGTACTAAAACCACTAATTCTGTTTTGTGATTGGCGCGGTTTAATCAAAGAATCTCCCCGTTGAACCAGAGCCTTCGCGACGTTTCAATTTATTATTTACTCACACATAAACAAAAATGAAACTCTCATTTATTTTCCAAATAGTTTGGTAAATACAAAGCTAAACAACATTAGTGTCTTTGTTTTCATTTATTGACAGAATTTGTACGAGCGGGATTTCTCCACAAAAAGAGTGCGACTTGAATTCCCTTTCCAAGTTTTGTTGTATGGGTACTTTGCAAATCAAGTTTCGAACGATAATACCATATGCCATTCTTTTTCTGAGACAACGGGGTGTTGTTCTCAGCCTTCACATCAACGAACGGTAGGATATCCGTCACTACGCTAAAATCTATCTTCGCAGTAGGATCCCGGAATGCCTTATACACTTGATCAGCAGATTTCTGCATTGCCTCTATGACAAGCTTGTAATTACGAGCATTTTTTCCAACATGTAGAGATTTGTCACCGTATGCTGTCCACATGTCCCCTCTTTTATTTTTGACACGCAAGCCATATTTGCCGTCTTCGTCATGCATCTCTTTGCTGAGGTAATCTCCAACATTGGCGAATAATAAATGAAGAGGCCAATACGCCGTTCCCAGAAATGTTTCCAATTCTGCTCTCGGCGTTCTATATCCAAAGAACAAAGCAATTTTTAATATAAAAAAATATGACGAAAGATCTTTTGAGCCGAAAGTGGTGCATTTTTCCGCACATAATACTAAAATACTCAAAATTTGGTAATTTCACAGGGCTTTATTTTTTCGTATTTTAAAACATTTCGCAACCAAACTTTGCAATTTTACTAATTTTGGCATGCTCGTTTGAGCTATATAATGATAGGTATTTGTCTTTCTTGTTTAGATAAAAAAATAGTCGATAGCTGGAATGATCCATATATTATAAGCGTAAAAATGTCCCCTGAATCGAGAAATCCATAAAATTTTGCACCTTGTTATGATAAGCCATGATTTTCCCGAAACAATATTAAGACACGCGATAGGTTTATTATGTATTGTTCCAAGTTATTCTAATATATTGAAAAAAATTAATGCATGAGGATCGCTTTGCCAGATTTGACGAAATACTAAAAATTCTTTTATCAATAACATGGTCATATCCTTAACCTTCATAAGGTCTTTTTTAGGTTCAGGACATACATCAATTTATTAGATGTTCATTTAATTCGAGATGTTTTCAAGATCTTCCGTAAATATTAGTTTGACCGGCATATCTTCGTCTTAGATACTAGCTATATATGGCAACGACGAATGTAAAAGTTAGTCATATGTGTCAGCTAAGCATAATCTATTATATACTTAGCTCAAATATGACCACAAAAGCTGTACTTGAAGACCACCTTCAGATTGTCCACCTTCAGATTGTCCCGCGCTTAAGAAAATTCCCTTGGTCTCATAAGCGTCACTCGACCTTCGGCTTGGGCCGCTTCTGAGACTTCAAGAAAATATTTTTTAGTACGGATCTCGCATGGAATCGGTAGCTATCAATATATGTATCCGAAAAAATGAAACTCATACCTGATGTGACCGCTTGAGAAGCAGTCAGAAAGATAGTGGCCTGCAAAAGCTTCCATTGCGTAGGCTGCCATTAGAAAGTTCTTCTTTTCTTCTGGATCAGTTTTCTTTGCTGCCTGACGTGCTTTATCCATAGCGCATTGATGACCTGCGCGGTAAGCTTCCGTTGCTTCCGGTTGAAAGTGGTCGGTATTTTTTGCTGCCAGATTCATCATTCTGCCCCAAGTCCATGGGAAATATCCCACAAAAGGAGCCCAGTGCCATTTACCACCAGTAACCTCGTCTCATTCTTTATCACTGTGAAGTTTTCCCTTGTCCGATGATTGTGCTTTGTGGTCTTCATTGATCATTTTCACAAGTTTTTGTACTTCCACCCGAAGATTTTGACGATGATTACATGCAAGATCAGAGTAGGCTTTCAAGAATCTGCTGCGGTTGTCTCTCATTTCCTTTGCATCGGAATGCTTCGCAGGGGGGAGTAATTATCGCACTTTCAGGAATGCCATAGTAATCGCCAGCTAAAGCAACTATTTTACCAAAAGTGAGTTCTATTCCGTTCGGAAGCCTTAATTTGGAGTTCATTCTCGGTGGATGTATCTTTATGCTGTTTCCAATGTCGTTGTGTTCGTGCGAGCTGAAGTGTGATGTTCGTATCTATATAGAAAACAGTTATTAACTTTTCAGTAGGCCTAAATGGAAGCATTTGAAAATCGCGATTAAAGCCAAGTATTTACCTTATTGTATTCAATTGGAAACCAGTCCCATTTTTGGTAATTTAGCTGGCCTAAAATGGCCGAAGGAGTCGGGAGATTGTCAAAACATTACTCAAACAAAAAATTAAACACAACATTCAAAATTTGCTTTGGTTCGGGTTAGAGATGTCTAGCCACTTGTTTGACAATCATGCATGCATTATGTTTATTCGTGCATTGGGTACTACTCTGCCATAGAGAAATGCTCCTGCGCAAAAACATATTGTCTTTCCACCAAAAGCGATCATGGCGTTTAAAGTTAGTTTTAGATGTTAGGAAACATTCACAGGGAATGTGGCCATTGAAAGTCGTACGGAAGCGTTGCTTTTTATTCTTTCCTTATTGAAAATGTTTTTCATTCCAAATTGAAGCGACGAACTGCGGAAAACAAAACCTTTAGGCATAGGTAACTTTAGCTATACTTTTATTAACTATAGATTTGACTGCAGTTAACGCTATAGCTAACTAAACTTTTATACATTAGCGTTTGGCTGGCATATTATCAAGTTTTCCTGCTTTGCTTCTTGAACGTGTTGTGCTGAACTGATAATGAGTAAATGAAACCGAAATACCTTTCCAAAACACACTTTAATAAGTTTAATATGATTGATTTACAGTTGGATAACAGAGAGCGGAAAAACTAAACAAAATCGCTTTTCGTCTTTTACAGAAAATAAATTATTCTCATATTCTTCCCCCAAAATAAAAATACGCCGCCCATGTTTTGTCCGATTGCCTCCATGCAAACTTTGTCACAATGTTGAACAATAATAGTACAGGAGCGAAATCGTGTTCTCCTTTTTTATTCAGTGCCATACTCTTCAAGTTATATAGGCATCTGTTCTATGATTTTCACAAAGTTGAAATGAATAAGTTTGTTTGTTTTAGATCAACGCAAATACAGTACCTGCCAAAAAAAGGGAAGAAGGTGTTGTTCTTGGGGGGGGGGGGAATTGCCCTGGGCCCCCACCATAATAGGGCCCCAAATTGAGAGCGAGATCATAAAATCGATTGGGTTCTTTAAATTGGTCAAATAATTCTTTAAATTTAGGGCCCCTTACAGTACCTCCAAGCTTAAAAATTATGATGTCATGGGACCCCAAGGGAAGATTTTCCCTGGGTCCTGCGAATTCCCTCGGCGGCCCTGGTTCTTTGATAATTTAGGATGGGAAATACGATCTTAATTCGGAAGACTTTGAGCTAAGTGAGAAGCGTGCAATTCTGATGACGCAATTAAAAGCACGTCATATTTTCAGGTAATTTCGCAGTAATTGTTCCCAAATGAGAATGTGCTGAAACTTCCCAGGCATGGAGTTTATGATATACTTAAAGTCAAATCGCTCAAAAAAGTTGGGGTCACCGAACTCGTAAGAAGAAGATATGACAATCACAATATACCACCTTTACCCCAATATGGCGCCATCTTTACGCTCATTGCGAGTAACAGCAAAATCACAACAGCCCGATATTTATTGATGTTTTTAGCGCGAATTTTGCTTTAGTAAACCTATGTTGTAATTATTTTTGAAAAAATATTGTGTTTTGGGCAAAATGAAGCTAATAACGTGTACAATTCTGATCCACGTACAAATGTCTTTTCCACATTTCTTTACATGTATTTCTTTGAGAACATGCATTGATAAAGGATTTTTTTTCAAGATCCAGAAATGATTTTTCTTTTAATTTCGGATATGAAATGTTAAATACATTAAATTGGATTGGATTGCCAAATATAGCATGAGTGCATTGACATGAAACGCAACGAATTCATAACAGCAATTATGAAAAATTCAATTATGTATAAATTTTTGGCGAATATCACACTTCATGTATACGTTTGCATGCCTGCTTGTCCAATGGAAAAATGAATCATCGACGTAGTATTTGTCCATTTGACGTAAAGCATAAGTATTGGCAATGCTTGTAGCAGATTTGTTAATTAAAGTACTATTCTTATTACTTTGTTTTAAGTATATACATTAATATAAATGACTTCTGCTTACTTTTGGCGCAGATTGAACTGTTCCCATAACCACGATCATGGAGATGGCCAAATAGATTTCAATGTTTCTTCCCATCATCAACATTTAATATATTTCTAAAAGGATAAACAGGGACATCTAAATGCGATTAAATAGGATAAAACCCTAATGATTTAGTAGTTTAACGAACTACTCTATTTTGCTGCTTTCCGCAAATTCTAGAAAAAGGTTTGATGTTTAAGGTACCGGTCACCTAACAATCTCTATTTCATAGGAGTAGTACCACCACAGAATAATGTAGCTATTGTTGATGGAAGGTCTCGCTCTTCTATCAAGGCGACATGGGTTATAGAATTATTTGGAAAACATGTTGATGGTTTGGCCATATAGCTCAGCTCAATTACATTGTGTATCTTATCTCTGTTTTCACAATAGACCTTCGTTGATCTTCGGACCAGGAAACATAAGACAAAAAGCAGGTTTGTTACTTTTTAATGAGCTGGAGACAAAGGGTTTGAAATTTGTAATAACAGCACAGCAAAAAACAAAGACAACAATTTTGGTCGATTATATGAGAAATTTGAATAATGGTCACAAAGTGATCAGACTTTGCCTCATCTACAAGCGCACGCGCAGATGCGGCAGGATATACTTCTGCTGCCATGGACGAAATACCGTGTCAGCTCTGGGCGCTTTAAGACTTTGTTTTTGGTTTTGAAAATTCATTTTATTGTGTTGCGAAGACAGAAAGAAGAACATGTACAGAGGAATGCAGTAACATGTAGCCATGCATATAGGTTGACAAAGATGGATGTCGCTCTGCTGATGTCTACAGCAAAACAAGACCTCGCGGTTGCAGTGCACATTATAAACAAATCTGTATACCAGCCTCCCAAGCGCAAATGCCAGTAGAAATTTCGAAGCGCCGACGTAAGCCCATGCCGCAGGGGGACGGTATACTAATTCCGCACCAGGGGCGGATCCGCATCGATGCCAACGATGCGAATGCATCGGCCAAAATTGGGAAATCATGTTGCTTGAAATAATACATAGACATATTATGGTGTCGTCAATAGTCTAGCACTCAGTAATAGAATTTAATTTTTTTTAAAGTGAAAATGAAGCAATTTGATTGGCTGAGGAGCCCTTCAGAGCGGGCCGGTTTTTTGCATCCGGCCCGCTCTGAAACGCAACTGCCCTCTGTGAAATGCAACTGCCCGCTCTGGTTTTCGCGGCCAAAACTGAGGAGTGAAACAATTTTAAAACGAAAAAATCTGCCAAAAACGTTTGAAAAACATAGCCTAACGGTAGTCAGAATACAAAAATGAATTGCATCAAGCCCTAAAGGCTTCATACTAAGCACGATGTTCACGAGAATTGGCAATACTTTGATAGAAATGCGACTGAAAGTCGGAAAGTAGTTGATATGTATAAAACTTACGTCGAGAAAACTATATATTTTTTAAATGCTCATGTATTCGGCCACTTAAAAGCGAAAAAATTACAGCTTAAACAGAAATTGTAAAATAAATGTTTTCCCATTTAAAAGAAGGTTTAACTGCAGCAGTGAAAACAACTCACGAATATATTCTCTACCCATTTGTGTCATGTATTGATATAAATATTGTCAAACATGTCACTGATATAAATATTGTAAACAAAGTAAAAGTTTGTGTTTAAAAACACTTTTTTCAAGCATATTATCGTGAAAGGACAAGAAAAAATACAAAAATATAAAAATAACATACTTTTTTCATTGTCCTTTTAGTAGAAAAACGTTAATTAAATCAAAACAGATTTATTTTTATATGTTTTTGATCGGATCTGAACATGAACCTGTCGTTGTCAGGACCAACTTGTCAAAGCCAAAGCCAAAACGCCAGGCATAAAAGATTTTATCCCAAAGCTTCTCTCAGTTCTCTGCTACCATATTCATGAAAAAGCATGTACATTTTTACTGAAACTATACGTCTTTTTGTGTGTTTCTTGGCAGTTTTCTCGAGTTTTCGTATTCGTCTTTTATATCTTTTAACTTTTCAATTTTAGTCAGCCTCGCTTTGAAAATACACTACTGCACTGATCTCAAATTAGTTCGCAAGCAACACTGGAATTTAATTTAATTTCTACATTTGATAAAAAATAAACACGTTATTTACCAGCAGCGTCGGTCCGGATGAGAAAAACCGTGCCCTCGGGCTTAAAAACTGGCCTCGGGCACAGTTTTTCTCATCCGGACCTCTCAGCCGGTAAATAACATATATATCTTTCTAGCTATCAAACCGCAAATCTTTGCTTAAAATTGACTCCTTGTCAGCAATACACTATTTAAGATGAAATCCAATTTAAATAGTCTCAATAACAGTCGAAATTGTCAAAATACGTCCAACATGCGACGTGCGATCGCAAATGTTATTTACTTTTTATTTTGCGACACCTAAGCGTCAAAAATTTCGCGACAAAATATGTTATTTTTTTACCGCATCCTTTGACGTCACAGTAGAAAGCTAATAGCGACCTTAAGCATGTAGGATGGGAACGCGACGGCGACGGCACACAAACTCGTTGAACCAAATGATTGCAGAAGAAAACCTGTCGTCTATTATCCATCGTATGAATCACCAACGCATAACCAACGTCACGGTAGATTCTATTTGCATCCATTTTCAGCCATTTTGCATCAGTGAATGCATCGGTCCCGAGTCCTTTTCCGCGTGAAATATACTGTGACATCATCAAGTCTATTGTTTTAGAGCCCTACGTCACGGTAGATTTGTCCGCTGAGTGATGCATCGGATGCAGATTGCGGGCGCTCGCATCGGTCCACTGATGCAAATTGCAAAATGAAATCTACTGTGACGTAACGAGGCATTCGATTCAAGTCATGGCGGCAAGATATGCAAATCGACTATATGCAAATTATATGAGACAAATAAATTTTCAATTCCGATCTTTTGCGAAGAAATATCCCTCAAAGTTGAGGGACAACAAATAATTTACAATCGAACTAATTACTAAGGCTTGGAATGAATCTAACCCTTCAACTGAGTACAAAAATTGAAGAATATTTATACTGTAAAATGCCCACTATAGTCTATGTGCAACTCGAACAGAGGGCACGAAAGTAAGTGAAATTTATCTAGATTTTACATTGTAGTACATTGTTCATTTCAAGAAGTGTATAAAGTGGAAAATGGGCTCCACAGTTAATGTAGATTTGTATGTATTAACAAAATAATTAAAGTTTGTGTCTATTACTGTTGTTACTAGCAGGGGGAGGGGGGCGAGGAGTTTGACATTTTACAGTCTTTACAGAGATTTGCTTGTCTGGAGGCAAACCAGCCCCAATACCAAACTTGGCAGCTTGCTCTACTGAGGCAAATTTCATCTCTGTTTACATGGGATTATAGCCTGAGCCCAGTCCTTCATTTTTCTCACAGCTGGCGGGCGAAGAAAAATGAAGACCTGATACACATGTTATTAAACGTTTGTTTCTCATAACTGCCTGTATATGGTTATAATAACTCGTTGTCTTGATATTTTGGTTAATGCTATATATAACTAAATAGTTATATATTTAGTAATTGTAACTATATTTAGCTTGTTGTTAAATTATGTGAAATTGACATTTCTCCTGTGGACTCCTGGCACATTTTGATTGGGTACCGGTGCTAAAAATAGAACTATATATATGTGTGGGTGGAATGTAATTCGGAGTGGATCAAGACTTGCAGCAGGCTCTGTATATAATTACAGAGCATAATTGCAGGTTCATTAATGAGATTTCTAATAGTGTTGCAATATTGGTTAGAAGACTATGGGGCAGATTACATGAAAGATAATTGGTTCAAGTTGCAAGTTCCAGTGGTATCTCCTATTACATTTCATTTTCATTTTATATGGAAATGAGCTGGCATACCTCGTGACAAGGGTCTTCTTGCTTTGCATTGCCTGAGTTATTGGGCAATTACTGTACACTGGATATTTTGCAAATAAAGATGATTACCTGGGCTTGCTTGCCTACCATAGTTGAGTATGTATGCTTTCTCTGTGCAAATATAATTTGATATAAGCTGTATGTGTGATTCTCTTGACAGATTTTAATCTGGAATGATAAAATGATGGACGGTATAAATACTGTATATAACCAAACTGGTGTATATAGGTTATAATTATGAAATTTGCTCACAAAAGTGGGATAGTTTCGAAAATATATTTAATTAAATCATATGTCTGTAGTGCTAATTGTCCCAATACCAATTACCATTGATAAATGTATGGATGTATTTGACAAAGATGTGCATATTGAAGGACAGGCAAAAGGGGACAGATAGAAGGAATGATTTAATTATGTCATGATATTGTTTATCATTCTACAGTTTGGTAGGTTCATTTGACAAACAATTTCCAACTAAGATAGTTCATCAAATTAATTTACACACGGTCTCTATTGATTTAAAATTTGCAGTCGTGTGTACCTAGTTACATACTTATAGAATTTTAAACCCAGAGCTTGTTGTGTGTTAGTTTTACTAGTTTCCTGGTCACAGAGCAATATTCTCAGTATTCAGAATGTGGGTTATTCACCACATGTCAAAGGCAGCTAGGGGCGAAAGAAATTGACCAACTGATACCAACCACACTTTCCTTGCAGAGTAAGATTAGCAGCATAAGACAGAGTTGTATATAAATAAGTTTACTCACAAAAGCACAAAATACCTTTATGCATCATTCTATTATTATAATGCTAGATGATTTCACTCATGGAACATTGGGAAACAATGGAAATTAATAGGGGAGGTGGTTCAAAAACAACTAAATAACATTGTCTTCTGAGTGCAGCAATGCAACTAGTGGATCACACTGTATACACCTTTGTTACACCTTTGTTACACAGCTATATTATGTGTTTTTTTGCGTTGTCGTGATTTTTTGGCGAAATTTTTTTCAATAGAAACGTTAAGGCTACAAGAAACACAGTAGCTACTGACCATTTTTGAACAGAGACTTATGTGCCACTGCTGCTATTACACTTGTGCAAGCGAATTTTGTTTTCTTATATGGAGAAATTATGTTGTTTTTGCGATATAGGTTCACGTTTTTACGTGATTTTCCAAAAATACAGCAAATAAATCATTATGAGACTCTGATGTATTGGAACAAAAGAGTTTAGCTCAGAACGCTGGAAATCGCATTTCCGAGTTCCTAGATTTCAGGCATCATTTAGGCATCACTCAGCTTAGGAACTGGATACACCCTTGTTCCGCACGGCTGCAGTGCTATTCCCAGACGCGACAATTGGGGTGCGTATATTCATATATTCATGTTCACATACCGTAAAAACAATCGCTTTCAAAAGAAATCCGCCGCGGGCAGAACACGAATATATGAATATACATGTATCCCCCAATTACCGCGCTAAGAACGGCCCTACACGGCTGTATTTACACCAGGGAAAAAGGAAGCATTACATAAATCTAAATTTTCTCAATAATGGCGCAGGCGCGCGGCTATATTTCATCGTGCGTAGGTGGTCATTCTCACTGATCTCAAAAATACAGCTGTTTCCCAGGTTTGAAAGAACCAAAGATTAAAAATACATGTAAGAAAGCTTGGATAATCATTTTCACGCAATAAGTTGTAATTTTTTTTTTCATTTTTTAAAGAAACGACCAAAATTGTTGAATTAATTTCATTTCAACTCTTAATAAAACTAAAAATAAGGTTATTTATTTTCATTAGCGACCTGTATATAGTTAAATCTATTTTACTTCAAAGCAGAAGAAATAAGTTGAAGTGTTTTTCGGCAAAAGCTGTAAATTGCAATGAACATTTTAAAAAGAGTAATATAAAAATGACTTAACAAATCATACCTTGCACAAATAGCAAGTTAACGAATTAAAGTAATTACATTGATCACAGTTCTTGAGACTGTATATTTATTGTAGAAAAACGAAGCGTTACATGTTAAATTTCACATTAAAATATAGCCTGTTATTATAGATGTACATTAAAATATAGCCTGTTATTATGTAGCCTGTTATTATATGTTCTCTAATATTTGAATGTTAATATTTGAATGCTGTTCCCTATTTATAATTAAATGCTGTTCTATATATACATGAACTTACGGTTACAGCTCAACAGCTGGCCTCTGTAGCTCAGTTGGTTAGAGCGCTGCACCAGAATCGCAGGGCTGTAGGTTCAATTCCTACCAGAGGACCTTGTGCTGCATTTTTCGCAGTCGTTCCTGGTCAGGTCTTAAAATGTATATATATATACTCACTTGGATTACAAACCCTAAGAACAGCATTCACCTTTTTAATATGTCTATGTTACAAGTCTTATTTCCAGTCAGGGCCAGGTTTTGATATTCTTCTGTCGTGTAATGCACAGCTGCAGGGTCATAAATGTACATTATGAAAACTAGGTGACCATGCATAGCCATGTTTACGCCACAAGCCAAGCCTGGCCAAGGCCTAGCTTTGGACTAGATTGTTGTGTGTAAACACACTTTGGCCTGGCTTAGGCCAGGATATCTGGGCCCATCAGAACAGGTGTTCCAAATTTCCTGGCCTAGGCCAGGCCGAAGTGCATTTACACTACAAAAATATAGTCCAAGGGTAGGCTTGTAGTGTAAACACGGCTCAATTGATTGGCAATTGTTGAAAGATCATGCCGCATCTTCAGATGCCTTGTACATGTTCTTGCAATATCTCTCAGCCTAGCTCACATTTCTTTCTCATTTCCCCCTTCTACGTGTTCATTGATAGTTTTCAATGATTTTGTCAGACTATTCTCCGTCAGATTTTCATCAGTCCACACTTTCCATCGTTTATGGCACTACAACAGTAATTTCTCCACCATGTCCCCTGAGTTTCAATCTTCGCACTCTCTCATCATTCCCATCATGTTAGCGCTTGAATCAACTGATGTCAACACCAACAGATTTTAACCATTCTTTTGCAATTTGACGCCCGCACAGTCTTTGGTATTTCACCCTGAGTGTTCTTGATGTTATGCTTTCTTTCTAGAGTTGACCAATTTAGAACGATATTATCTGGATGATTTTCCACTTCTCTCATTTTCTCCTTATCAAAATTCTTGTTTTCTAAATTTCCAAGTTCCAACAGGACTTCTCATTCTTCATGCCTGCTTCGTGTCGTGATTGCTGTGTTGTTGCTAGGAATATAGAAGTATATTATTTTAGTTCGTTATTCCTGCTTATACATGATAATTTTTGTCTTTGCATTAAATTGCATATACTGTAATGCACTCAAAGTGGGCTTCCATGGCCAGGAGCTTTGGGAGGTAACTATAAGGTAATAGCAAGATTGACAAAAGCCCTTGACTCAGCACGAGGGCTGCTCCAGTAACAATGAGCTAATAATACTGTAAAATGTTCTAACAAATTAATCACAAATAGAATATTTTTTGTCGGTTAAATGTATTTTGCAACAAATTTGATTGCGTCAGAACTTAGAAGCTAATTAATATGCTGCATCACATACATACTGTATTCAGCCTATTCACCTTGTAACTGATGTATTCTTCCAGTGCTCCTTCAAACAAGCTTTTGTCTTTTGTAAATAATTTCTTCTTTCTTTTTTTTTCTCAGCACAACTCTTATTCACTTGGATATTCAATGTGGCAAAAGTGGTCAAGGTCTTCTGAAGGGGTACATTAAAAACTCGCTGGAAACACGTTCCAGAGCAAAGTGTGATATTTTATTTACTTAAAAAAATGGACAAATACACCTCATACGAGAAAAACGTCCACAAATGTAAAATCTCATAATATCCTATGCTAAAAGTTAACATTTTGGTGTAATTTTGCCAAAAAATATTACGTGTGGCAAAAAAATGCAAAAAAGATCAATATTTTCAATAGGTTTGAGTGTGATAAAACTAAAAAAGATATCAATAGTTGGTTTGGATAAATCCACGCCAACATGAAAAGAAACTAAAAAGGTCATTTTTCAAAGCAGATGTCACCGACATGTCGAGACCACATTTGCACATGGTGGATAAATTAGGAATATTTTGCAAACATATTAATAGTCGGTTTGGATAAATCCACGCCAACATGAAAAGATACTAAAAAGGTCATTTTTCAAAGCAGATGTCACCGACATGTCGAGACCAAATTTGCAGATGGTGGATAAATTAGGAATATTTTGCAAACATATTAATAGTCGATTTGGATAAATCCACGCCAACATGAAAAGATACTAAAAAGGTCATTTTTCAAAGCAGATGTCACCGACATGTCGAGACCACATTTGGACATGGTGGATAAATTAGGAATATTTTGCAAACATATTAATAGTCGGTTTGGATAAATCCACGCCAACATGAAAAGATACTAAAAAGGTCATTTCTAAAGCAGATGTCACCGACATGTCGAGACCACATTTGGACATGGTGGATAAATTAGGAATATTTTGCAAACATATTAATAGTCGGTTTGGATAAATCCACGCCAACATGAAAAGACACTAAAAAGGTCATTTTTCAAAGCAGATGTCACCGACTTGTCGAGACCACATTGGGACATATGGTGGATAAATTTGGAATATTTTGCAAACATATTAATAGTCGGTTTGGATAAATCCACGCCAACATGAAAAGATACTAAAAAGGTCATTTTTCAAAGCAGATGTCACCGACATGTCGAGACCACATTTGCACATGGTGGATAAATTAGGAATATTTTGCAAACATGTTAATAGTTGGCTTGGATAAATCCACGCCAACATGAAAAGATACTAAAAAGGTCATTTTTCAAAGCAGATGTCATCGACATGTCGAGACCACATTTAGACATGGTGGATAAATTTGCAATATTTTGCAGACATATTAATAGTCGGTTTGGATAAATCCACGCCAACATGAAAAGATACTAAAAAGACCATTTTTCAAAGCAGATGTCGCCGACATGTCGAGACCACATTTAGACATGGTGGATAAATTTGGAATATTTTGCGAACATATTAATAGTCGGTTTGGATAAATCCACGCCAACATGAAAAGATACTAAAAAGGTCATTTTTCAAAGCAGATGTCACCGACATGTCGAGACCACATTTGGACATGGTGGATAAATTAGGAATATTTTGCCAACATATTAATAGTCGGTTTCGATAAATCCACGCCAACATGAAAAGAAACTAAAAAGGTCATTTTTCAAAGCAGATGTCACCGACATGTCGAGACCACATTTGCACATGGTGGATAAATTAGGAATATTTTGCAAACATATTAATAGTCGGTTTGGATAAATCCACGCCAACATGAAAAGATACTAAAAAGGTCATTTTTCAAAGAAGATGTCACCGACATGTCGAGACCACATTTGCACATGGTGGATAAATTAGGAATATTTTGCAAACATATTAATAGTCGGTTTGGATAAATCCACGCCAACATGAAAAGATACTAAAAAGGTCATTTTTCAAAGCAGATGTCACCGACATGTCGAGACCACATTGGGACATATGGTGGATAAATTTGGAATATTTTGCAAACATATTAATAGTCGGTTTGGATAAATCCACGCCAACATGAAAAGATACTAATAAGGTCATTTTTCAAAGCAGATGTCACCGACATGTCGAGACCACATTTGCACATGGTGGATAAATTTGGAATATTTTGCAAACATATTAATAGTCGGTTTGGATAAATCCACGCCAACATGAAAAGATACTAAAAAGGTCATTTTTCAAAGCAGATGTCACCGTAATGTTCCAATTACTTTTTTAGCTTGGCGTGGACGTGTCCATGCCATTGTATTTTTGTGCTCGAATGACTTTTTTAACTTGGCGTGGAACCGTCCATGCCATCAATGGCATGGACGAGTCCACGCCAAGTTAATTAATTAATTAATTAATTAAAAAAGTAATCGGAACATCAATATACAATGGCATGGATTTGTCCATGCCATTTGGAAATTTATGTTCCAATTACTTTTTTCACTTGGCGTGGAGGTGTCCATGCCATTGTATATTTGTGTTCCAATTACTTTTTTAACTTGGCGTGGACGCGTCCATGCCATCAATGGCATGGACGAGTCCATGCCAAGTTAATTAATTAAAAAAGTAATTGGAACATAAATATACAATGGCATGGATCCGTCCAATACATGCCTTTGGAAATATATGTTCCAATTATTTTTTTATTTTGGCGTGGACGCGTCCATGCCATCAATGGCATGGACGAGTCCACGCCAAGTTAAAAAAGTAATTGGAACATTAATTTCCAATGGCATGGACCGATCCATGCCATTGTATATTTAGTTCCAATTACTTTTTTAATTTGGCATGGACGTATCCATGCCATTGTATCTTTGTGTTCGAATGACTTTTTTAACTTGGCATGGACGCGTCCATGCCCCGCGTCCATGCCATGCATGTATATTTGCAGTTTTCCAATGACTTTTTAACTTCATATGGATGCGCCTTGTCGTTTGTTATGTGTTTTACATATTTGTGTTCCAATGACTTTTTAACTTGTCAATATTGTTGCTTTTGGAATGGTTACATGGACTTGTTTTGAAATTAAGGACATTTTGATGCTAATTCTTGTATAACAGTGTAAATAATATACATGTATTTTACTGTATGGAAAATACTTGTTATATTAATAAATTAAGCAACATTTTGTTGTATGAATAAAGTTTACTTGATTTCTGTACAATTTAGCAAGTGTTATTTTTCAAAATTATGCCAATTTTAAATATTATAACAAATACGTCCGAACAGTTTTTATAGAAATAATTGTTTGTCAGTTTTTGGCAATAACAAAGAGTTTTGACAAACGTAAATTAAGTGGAACAACGCAAAATTATGTACGAATTAACGTAATTCTCCTGAGAAAGAATATTCTTTGGAAAAAGTGGGATTAATTGGTCACAAATGTCCAAACGAAATCTAAATTTGTGGCTAAAATCTTGTAATAAAACGATTTTGTCCACAAAATTGCTAAATAGAATATCGCACTTAGCTCTGGAACGTGTTTGGAATACTCGGTTAATTTCATCATACACCGTTTGTGCGCCAGTCTGGTATTCTCCGGCGTGTACACTTTATCTGTACTGTATGTACAGGCTGTTTACTTACATTAGTTACATATTTTGAGCGCGTCTAATTTTGACAGATTATAATCTTAAATTACTGATAAATAAGGCTCTTGTTTCATTATAGCACTCAAGATTTATCTTGTGCAATATTGTCTGCGAAATTTATGCTTAGTAGGCTAGTAGCCTGTTAGATTTGTAGTATTATATAAATCAAAGCATGTTGCGGTATTATTAAAATGCGAAATTGTGTAGATAATTTGGTCACAAATGGTTCTGTGCGTTCGACATTTACTTGTATATAAAAACAATGGTATGTGTGTATTTTTGTGGATTACAATTGCCGGTTTTAACCTTGCGAAAATCAAAATATATCTGGAAACATGTCTTTATGCTCTTCGAGTTATTATGATCGCCATTTTGAGCGTTCTTTGTTGCCATGACTATGCGGGAGACCGCTGTGTGTAGAATCAGGGCTCACTCGACAAAAATGGCGGTTTTTACAATTTATTTACTCGGCCGAATGTTAAACTTCAATGGCTTTGCAGGGAAGGTTTTTATTATCAACCATTAAAGGCTTAGGCGCTAATTATCTTCAAAATATGTCCAAGTTCTTGAGAAATACCGTAAACTGAAAAGATTTTGACTAGAAGTAGCTTTAATTATCAAAAATATGCAAGTAGAAACGCGTGTTTTAACTTTGGATCCATTTCACGCAACAATAACACAACATTTTCACGTATACAAGTTTGAATGTGTTAGAAGAGTTCCTTGGCAATCTATTTGTAATTGAATGTTTCAGTGAGAACCCGCTCAATCATTCCCTGCAAAGCGGTTGAAAAAGTTCCATGTTTTTGTTGCTATTTTTAGACCAACAAGTGGTCACGTGACACGTTTTTAAAAAATTTGGGTCGGTTAAAAAAATTCTAAAATTATGTTGAGTAGCATTAACGCCCAAAAGCCTGTCAATTTATCTTAAAATCGTTGTAAATAATTTTTCTTTTATTTTTCATGAGTTAATGTTCACTGTGAAACTTGCCATAAATAGTAGTTTTTAATTAACCAGTGTAACTCATATAATTTAATTTTTCCTTCCTACCCAGTTCCATTTTAGCCAACTACAAAAACAATTTCCTGACTGTGACAATTTCCCGAATGTATAGCGATTGGGGGTGTTAATTATCCCTCCCCCACACCCCCTCTAGCGACGCCCCTGGTAAATGTTGCCCGCCCAAAAATATAGACTAGCATGTTCTAGATGTGGTACTAATTATTAAATGATATATGATCCACAATGTGTCTTCATCTCATGCTATGAAGTGATTATCACTTGGCCATCTTTTAGTGAGAGGATCTTAATAGAGAGGGGGGGGGAGCTTATTGGTTTGGCTGTACATGAGGAAGAAAGGAATTCAGATGCAAATGTGGACAAGATGAGCTTATTAATGCACATGTCATGGGTTATATCCCTGGAGCGGAATTAACTCTGGGTTACATACTGTACTGTAAATGTAGGGACTTTTGCAACTTCATGAAGAGCTATATGTGGTCCAGGGAGAATTAAACCAGCAAATTAATTTTCATCATCATTGAGGCAATTCCCAAATGTGGCCAGTAGGTTATTGTTTATCCTTCAGTCATGGTATCAGTGCTGTTGTGTTCGAGTTGACAAACATGAAATGTGATTTGTGCTATCGTTATTTCCTTTGCAGTTCTATTAAAATTTCCCTTAATGTTCAAAAATTCTATTGGTATTATTGCTTTTAGACCATACAGGCAGCTCAGCAAATGATTTATTGTGTACTTCATTGGGTTGTACATATATTGATCGATGAAACCGTGAAACCAAAATTAAAAATTGACTCTGGGTGGAAGGAAAAAGGTGTACAATTCACAAACATCAAACCATAGAGAGGGGAATTTTATTAATTAAGCATAGGACTATAATTACATGGGAGGATTATTTAATACTTGAGCTTATATACAAGGCCGTCAGAAGCAAGGTGGGGGGGGGTTGTTGAGCCCCCCAATAATTCCCATTTGTATGAGCAAAACACATACAAAAACAAGAAAAGTGCGAAAGCAATTCAGATTTATTCTTGAGCCAAAATATTGATTAACTTCTGACAGCCTTGTATATATATATAAACCTTATAAATACTTTCATAGTTTCATAGAGGATGTATAGTATGATAGAGGATTTTAGTTAAGCAACATGCTATATTTGAAGCTTTAATATATTTTCCAAAGGAACTAGCTCCCACGAGTATTTAAACACCAGACATTTGTTAAATACTTGTTTGCATGCAGTACGTCATGTCGGTCATAACTGAATGGCTGATTCGAACTAAAGTAAAGAAAATAATAATATTTCAGATGCTATACCTCAAGGTAGCCTACATACCTTTAGCAATTAAAACATTGATTTTCATAATATCATGCAAAGAAATCATACATGATCTTTCATCTTTATATAAATATCCAGTTGTAACTTCTAAGAATGAGTATCAATATAAAGATTCGAATGTTTGAAAATTATACAAATTTTCACTAAGTGAGTTGTTCTCGCGTGTACCACGAACACGAAATAAACACGCAACTAGACCCAGTTCTCGCACGGTCACCTACCTTTCGTCCATCCCCTTTAGCCATAACCGTGATGTGAGAGCATAGCTCGACATGCGCGAGAGCATGCCGAGATTGAAGTGGTAACTCTCAAGCTCATGATTGGTTAAGTGTAGATTTTGTTTTTGAAATGCTATATGGCGAAAGTTTAAAACTGCCATTCATTTTACAATTTATAAATCGTTTTCTTGACAAGTTTGATCATCGTGGCATCTGGTCATGCTATATAATAACTTGCATCAAAATAGGTTATAATAAACACAATACCTTTCTAAAGGCTTGAATAATGCAAATAACTAAATATAAAATTTGCGTAGCATGACCTGTTCCAATTGCCAGTTTTACCCCTAACGAATTTAATATTTGTACACAAAACGTTTACAAACCAAGTATATATAGATGTTTTTGATGAAACAAAGTTGAATTGAGTTTTTATATAGAGTTCTGTCACTATAGTGATCGCAAAACAAAGGCAATAACCATGAATTAATACACGACAGTACATGTTGTATTCATAGCGCCGCGCTCGATCTCTATATGGAAGTAAGTCAGTAAATATAAAGTGTCAAGATATTAATTGCTGGTCAAGAAGTAAATTGTTCTTTGTATGTTTGCATGGCGATAAAACATATAATAGTTTTGTTTGTGGAAACACCACGTAAATTTATTACTGCAAAGCTTTCGATCCGTAAGCCCGGATCTTCATCAGTGCTAATAATAATAATAACATATTATTAGCACTGATGTAGATCCGGGCTTATACGGATCGAAAGCTTTGCAGTAATAAATTTATGTGGTGTTTTCACAAACAAAACTATTATAAGTAAATTGTTCTTCGCAAAAAAATTGCAAAAGGTTACCATGCACACAATTAAACAGCAATGACCGCATATCGACATATATTTAGGTACACTTTGAAAACATTTCTGAAAACAGAACACTACCCGAACACTACTTAGGCATGAAACTGAACACTGCAGCCCAAACATAAAACTGAACACTGCCCAAACTTGAAAACTGAACTCTGCCCAAATATGAAACTGAATACTACTCAAACTTCCAAACTGAACACTCCCCAAACATAAAACTAAACCCTAGTCAAACTTGAAAACTGAACTATGCCCAAACTCAGCACTTTCATGCATGCGTAATTTTATTTCCAGATCTGAGTACTGGAATGACACATTCCTGATAAAGTTAGATGTGATTATACTACGAGAGTTTTCAAAACATTTCATAAACGTCCCTCGTAGACTGACTATATTACTGTATATAGTTTCGGCACATATATATATATATATATATATATATATATATATATATATATATATATATATATATATATATATAGACGTTGCTGTTGCCATTCGTGGACATGCAGAAGAACATTCGAAAACAAACTGTTCACCCAGACGACGCAGACAAACCCACAATTGCCTTCCAC